TACGGCAAGGACAAGTTTCAGTACGGCGACACCGCCGACGCCGGTGAGTGCCTGGACGCCATTCTCGTGCAGCTTCACAAGGGCCTGACCCGCTATCGCGGCAGCGGCGGCAGCAGCGCCCGCTCCAAGGGGCACAGCACCGCGCTCGGGTACGACGTGCTCCACTTCGAGGCGCTGGAGGCGTGTGCGCCGCCGTGCCTCATCCACGAGCTTTTCGGCATCCACGTCGTCGAATACACCGTGTGCGATGCCGGCCATCTGGGCGAGCCCTCGCCCACCATCCAGGGTGTGCTGTATGTGCTCGGTGATGACCTCCTCCGACACCGCCCCCGCAGCGGTGGTGACGCGTGGCCGTCAGACAGCGCCGGCTCCAACAATGCGCTGCGCTTCGAGCACGCCGTGCGCGAGTCTGCGGACCGTCGCGACGACATGTGCGAGTGCGGACAGTCGAGGAAGATGCAGCGGTGCCTCCTCTCGCCCCCGCGCTACCTGTTCATCGCCACCACGTGGGTTGGGGTGCCGCACGGCGACGCGTTCGAGGACTACCTGCGCATGATTCCAGAGCACATCGTCCCCGGCGCGTGCTTCGATGACCCGCCCTCAGGCCCATATGACCCCGCCAGCATGTCGACGAGCTTCGACAGCGATGGCATCGGCAGACGCAGAGGGTCTCACACTGTGGCCGGCGGTGATGGCGGTAGAGAGGAGGAGAAAGAAGAAGAAGAAGAAGAAGAAGACAGCAACGCCAACCACGAGAGCAAGCGTGGGCCATGGCCACGTCACGACAGTGCTGGCAGCGGTGGTGATGAGCAGGACACGTCAACGCCGCTTGCGCTGTGCTCCATCGTGTGCTTTGTGAGCGAGCACTACGTGTGCTTTGCGCGCCACCTGCTGACCACGGGCCAGGAGGCGGAGCGGTGGTGGCTGTACGACGACGCGCATATCCAGCAGATTGGCTCGTACGAGGCTGTGCAGGCTGCCATGGGCCGTAACCACTACCTCCCCGTGCTCCTCGGCTACAGTGCAGCACCACGCGCAGCGCCGCCAACGCGACCACCACCAACGCCCGCGGGCGAGCGCGAGCGACTGATGAGACAGCACAGCCAACAGCAGACCGCGCACCACAAGCCATCCGCGTCAACATCATCTCTATCATCGGCAGCATCCTCGTCAACCACGGCAGTCACGAGCACGGCGCATCAGGGCAGTGGCAGTGGCAGTGTTGGTGGAAGTGGGGTGTATGGCGGGCTTCGCTTGCAGGTGTACCAGCCAACACTCCGCCTCTCGCGGGAGCGGCGGGAGCAGGAGCGACAGCACTTCTTTCGCCAGCAGCAGCAGCAGCAGAATACGGTGTCGCAGCAATTGGCGTTCCCGCCACAGCCGCACTATCACCAGCGCGCATCACACCAGCACCAGCACCAGCACCAGCACCAGCAACAGGGACGGGAGACAACGACGCTGCCCTCGTACGAGTCGCTGTTTGGTGCCCAGGGAGCGTCTATTGGCGGCGCACAGAGCGACCACGGCGTACGTTCACAACACATGCCCGTTTCGTCGTCAGCACACCTTGCATCACCACGCCACGACCACCACCGTCAGTACAACCAGCATGCCCCACTGCAACAGTGGCAGCACCAACACCAACACCAACACCAACAAGACCAACAACAACAATTGCAGCACCAGCACCAGCACCAGCGACATCAGCATCCGCCCGCCGGGGTGCACCCGGCCTCTCCTGCGCACGTGTTCACGCCAGCGCACAGCGCACCCCACGCACACCAGCCAGCACATGCGCCCGCCATGACCACGTATCCATCAGCACATCAGCAGCGGCTACAGGAACCTGGGCCGGCAGCACCCCTCAACCCGCCACATCCCCAGTACCACCGCCAACAGCAACAACAACCGCACCGTGATGTGCACCACCATCCTCAGGCGGGCCTGCGTGGGGGCAGCCACAGCCACAGCCACAGCCATTCCGCCAACACTGGCACTGCTGCTGTCGCTACCGGCTCGTACCCAGCGGGTAACATTGGCGCAACCAACAGCGCCCCTGCCCTCGCGGGTGCAACCCACCGTGCCGGCGGCATCCTGGCACAAACACCGTCAACGTCGGAGATGGTGGCACCACAGCGGCGCAGCAGCCATCCCACACACACGCACACGCACACGCACGCGCACGCTGTTCCTCACACTGCACAGCAGCAAGCAAAGGAGGGGCCAAAAGACGCGGGCCGCCAGGTCTTTCAGGGGCGCGTGTATCCGCCCACCAACAGCACGTTCTTCACCCCGCTACCCGTCCAGCCACCACAGCTACAGCAGCAGCAGCAGCAGCAGGCTTATGGAGGGTCATCGTTAGCACGGGGTGCGCCGCGCACGGCGACAGCGGCAACGGCACCAACGGCGCCCCCGCTTGCGTCGTCATCATCGTCGTCGTCGTGGACAGCTGTGCGTGGTGGTGTGAGGAATGGAAACACCAGCCGTGCATCGCCTGAATTGGACCACTACACCACGCCGCACGGCACAACGGTGCGCCTGCCACGGCACCACTGACGGACAGCAAACGAAGCGAAGACAAAGGGGGAGAAGAGGGAATGCGCATTGCTTGCACTGCCACTCACAAGGCTTGGAAATGAAATGAACGAAGGAAGAATGAAAGCACAAACGAAACAAACCAACACAACAACAACAACAATGGCAGACGAGGATGCGACACTGCAGACGGACGGTGGGAGTGACGCTGTTGTGTCTTGCACGACGCTGCTCCTCGCACACACACACACACACACACACACACACACACACACACGAGCACGTTGATCACGCCCACATGCTCACTCTCACTCTGTTTGGCTTGTCAGAGCTGGAGTCCCTGTCGATGATATACGAGGACGAGTTTGCGTGGGACCACAAGGCGTCGAGCGACAATGCACATGACACGCACACGTGCAAGATCACTGTTGGCAGCGACAAGTTTGAGTTGAGGCTTCTTATCCCTCGCGACTACCCATCCAAGTCCCCGCCACTCTACGAGCTCGATCAACGATGGACAGGGCGTCCAGAGGCCGCACAGATCCGAGCTATCCTCGACTCTGCCTTCAACCCTGTCAGTGGCCGTTGGTGTGTGTGTGTGCGTGTGTGTGTGTGTGTGTGTGTGTGTGTGTGTGTGTGTGTCTGTCTGTCTGTCTGTCTATCTGTCTGCCTGTCTGTACGCCTGTCTGTCTGTCTGCCTGTTTGTCTCTTCTCTGTGTGCATCGTTGTAATCTGCACATGTGTGCGTCTGCTTGCCCATCTGCACGTTGGCTTCTCCGCCCCAATCACAGTATCCCGTCCCACCGCGATTCCTGTACATTGAAGGGAGATGTCGTGATCATGGACTGGGTGGAGGCACTACGGGAGTTCCTTGAGGAGGCCAAACTCGAGGCCGAGGCCGAGAAGGAACACCAGCAGCAGCAGCAGCAACAACAACAGATGCAGGAACGGCAGGACCAGATGCAGCAGCAGAAGGAAGATGAAGACAGCAGTGCGAATGTTCACGGTGATGAGGAGAACACGAATACATCGTCGACGTCAGACCCGGTACGTGGCAGACCCATACCGTGTCGTGTTCTCATTACATGGCCGCATTCATTCACTTGATGATGCGCTTGCTTATCGCTGGCGTGCGTTGCACCCCACATGTCGACGCTCTTGTATCCCTGTGCGTTCACACGCATGCTCGCTCTTGTTTCGTGCTCAGGCCCACCCTTGCCCACATATCGATCACGGTGAACCGTTCACAGACCGCAAGAGCACGTTCCAGGTAACGTCCACATACACGCGTGCACACATGTACACATGTTCGCGCGTGCACACACACACACACACACGCATACACGCACACACACACGCACACACACACACGCATTCGTGTTCACGCACACACGCGCAGGTGGCGGTTGTTCACGTGTGCTGTGGCTGTGGGCGTCTGTGTTTGCATTGTGTGTAGGGGCACGTTGCCACCGTGCACAGCGTGGCGGATGTCAAGGCGGTGATGGCTGAGCTGCTCAGCAATAGCAAGATTGCACGCGCAACGCACAACATGGTTGCATACAGGATATGGGATGATGACCGGGGTGTGTGGGTGCAGGACTGTGATGACGACGGCGAACACGGCGCATCATCTCGCATGCTGCACGTTCTGCAGGTGTGTGTATGTGTATACTTGCGAGAAACACTTTCTGTTTAGTTGCCGTGTTCGCTGTTGCCCCCTATACTCTTGACGTTGTGCTTGCTTACAGCCTCTCTTAATACTTGCATGTGTTTACAGCTGACTGACGCCAGGAACGTGCTGGTGGTTGTGTCGCGATGGTTCGGTGGCATTCTCCTCGGTCCAGATCGTTTCAAACACATCAACAACTGCACAAGGTACATGCACGTATTTACGTATTTGTGTGTGTGTGTGTGTGTGTGTGTGTGTGTGTGTGTGTGTGTGTGTGTGTGTAAGAGAGACAGACGGAGAGAGGCAGACACCTTCCATGTGCATAAATTCGTCCATGGAATGCAGAGTTGTGGCGCCTGCCTACCTCCATATTGCTAACCTCCCCCCCCCCCTTTGCACCTCGGCGTGATGCTTATTACTGCCCTCATACAGGGATGTCATGGTTGAGTTTGGGCACATCCAAGACAGCAGCTCTTCATCCGATTCAGGTACGCACAACCTTTGCTTGCCACCCACCGTGCACACACACACACACACACATTGTTCTGGCTTCGCTTGCATGCGCGTCTTGCTCTTCTGTTTGGGTCTTCGCTCACTTGTCTGTGATTGTGTTCGTTCGTGTGTACAGGAGGCAAACGAAAGAAGAAGGGCCGAAAAAAGAGATGAGATGAGCACACATTAGACTGTTCCTTCCGCCCATGATGTTTGTGTGCGAGTGTGTGTGTATGCGTGTATGTGTGTGTGCTTGTGTGTATGCGTGTATGTGTGTGTGTGTGTGTGTGTGTGTGTGTGTGTGTGTGTGTGCTTTGTCTAAGCAACTTGTGTGGCGCCACCCCACACCTTTCTTCCAACCCCCAATCCCCACGTTGAGATGCCTGCTCTTGCCGTGTGCAGTGGTGGTGCACTTCATTGGAAGCATTAAAGCAACAGATTAGGCAGCAGCACGAAAGCAGCACGAGTGACATTTTCAACCATTTTGCACTGGTGAAGCATGCAGGCACACAGTAACACTTGAAATCAATCACACATGCAGCGCATTGGAACTTCGCGCAATCATCATCTTGACCATGCCTGATGCACAAACACGTGCATCCTTAGGCGCCAAACCTCACAAGAACAAACACACACATGCACACACACACACACACACAAATTCCGGTGGTGCACTGCCTTGAAGTTTACCAAGGCGGTGCGTGAAGATAACCATCTTCATCCAACAGAGAAAGAGGGAAGGTGGCACGACGTCATGGCGGTGTTGGGCAGTTGCAGTTGGCTTCGAAGTCCACCTCCTCAGGCAGCACACACAGATAGTCCACCTCAAGGTACTTGTAGGTTCCCCTGCATGGATCCGTGAATACGCCGTTGCATGCCGACACCTCACATGTGGACTTGCCATCACAGGCATCAGCCACGATGCCCAAGCCGCTGATGTAGCACGTGGTCACATCCATCGTACCCGGTGTCGCGTGAGGGCAGAGTTCAGAGTCAAGCCGACCATAGAAGGCGCCCGCAATCTTGATTACACGCCCGGGCCCACAGTCCAGGCGCATGGCAGAATTGCAGGACTCGCACTGCCGCTCCTTCATGCAGCCTGAATGAGATGGTGATGATGTTGACGAGTTCACCATCACCGTCGAAGTGGTTGGCGCAGTGGTTGTGGTTGGTGCAGCAGTAGTCTGGTCATGCTGGGTGGTGGTAGTGGTTGGTGCAGCATTAGTCTGGTCATGCTGAGTGGTTGTCGACGTGGTTGGTGGAGCAGTAGTCTGGTCATGCTGAGTGGTTGTCGACGTGGTTGGTGCAGCAGTAGTCTCGTCATGCTGAGTGGTTGGCGCAGTGGTTGTGGTTGGTGCAGCAGTAGTCTGGTCATGCTGAGTGGAGGTTGTAGTTGGGTGCAGTCGTGATCTGGTCATGCTGAGTGGTGGTTGTAGTTGGGCTCGTCATGCTGAGTGGTTGTCGACGTGGTTGGTGGAGCAGTAGTCTGGTCATGCTGAGTGGTGGTTGTAGTTGGTGCAGCCGTGGTCTGAGTGGTGGTTGTGGTTGGTGCAGCAGTGGTCTCATGTTGCTGAGTGGTGGTTGTGGTTGGTGCAGCCGTGGTCTGGTCATGCTGAGTGGTGGTTGTAGTTGGTGCAGCAGTAGTCTCATGTTGCTGAGTGGTGGACGTGGTTGTGCTGGTCGAAGTGCTTGTATCCCATGTGCTGTCGTTCTGTGTTGTGGGCGATGTCGTTGTCGTCTCAGGCCCATTGCCACTTGCTGTGGTTGGACTTGTGACTGTGGTGGCACTGCCTGTGCTTGTGCTCGTTGGTTCCTGCGTGGTAGCTTCGACATCAGCGTTGCATTCAACATCGGCCGTGATCAGTGCGCATCTTGCCTTGCAATTACATGCAGTGCATCGTACACATCAAGCCGACAGCAATGTGGACAGTTAAGTTCCTGAGCACAGCGTGTGGTGCCTGCACGAATGCAAACCCAGAGCAGATTGGCAGGTCGCGTCACATTTACACATGCAGACAGACCCGCACGCACGTGCACACACCAGCATTGGAGGGTTCCACGAGTGGTGGTGGGTGCCCTTGAGTTCTTGCACGGTTGTCCCGTACACTCGGCCATGCATAGGCCAAACTCAACCAAAGCCAGCGTCGTGTGATGCCCGTCGGCGGTGGCGCAGGTGATGAAGGAGGTAATGTTTGTGTCCTTGGCATGCTGCGAGGTGAACCGACAAGCAAGCGGGGAGCAAAACACGGTGTATGCAGAACTCAGTGAGGATACAGACACAGTAGTGGACGAGCGCGTATATTCACACACACGCATGCAACATGCTGCACGAAGTGCAAGCGAATGCTAAAACACCTGAGCAACATCTTCGTACCTGGTCGACGCAATCTTGAGCCTGCTCCTGGCATGTGCGCGTGGGCGAAAAGGCCGCGTTGGGGTTGTTGTTGTTGCCCTTGGCGGCACCTGTGGTAGAGGCCGTTGGCTCTGTCACCAGCACGACGGGGATGGCAATGACGGCACAGAGCGCGATCATTCCAACGCAGAGGAAGACGAGGAAGCGCCTGCGTCGCTTACGCCGTGCTTTCTGCTTCTCTTCCTCGCGTTGGCGTCGTTCGTGCGCCTCCTCAACGAGGTAGGGCAGATGCTCAAATGCGTGGACTTGCGGCATGGTCGAGGCCGGTCTTCTTGCTGGTGGTGGTGATAACGGTGACTGGTGTTCCCTTGTTGGCGTGCTTGGGTAGGAAAGGCGAGGAAGATGTGCAAGGATCAGCTGGCTTTCCTAGCCGGACATACAGCAGAGCCGGTCTGCAATGAAGAGCTTGGTGTCGTCCAAAGCTTACGCTTGTGGCAGTTGCTTGATCACGTCGCAGTTGTTGCTTGCTTGTTCTTGCTGGAGGCTTGTCTCCGATGCTTGCACAGCTGTCAGTCTGTGCTCCCTTGGGAGTGGCAAGACTGCAAGACGTCGGGCGTGTAAATGAACACCACGTCGCTACTCGCAATTGATGAGCTCTGCACGCGCTCAGCTCGAGGTGGCTGCGGGCGCAAGCGCTCACAGCAGAGAGAGCAGCACGCCGCACGCTAGGCACAACGGATACAAGGCTCAGTGAAGTGAGAAGGTCTGGCTAAATTGGCACTGCATGATGGATGTGCACGAGCCGCAGACCGGTGTTGGTACGCTTGGTGATACGAGTTCCGCAAACTCGACATCGTGGTGCGTCGTCGCTTGCTAGCGAAAGGGTCCGAGACTGCACAAGAGGCGCAGGCACACAAGAGAGGCTGCTGGCACTCGTGAAGCTAAGAAGGCTAGCTAGCAGCAGGGTACATCACCCGGAGTCACGGCGAAGTGCGCAAGTACCCATTTCGTACGAGGGTGAGTGTTGGCACGATTTCCCCTTATCCAGGTTCTGCTGTTCTGCGGCTTCCTGCTGCGTCGTTGGTTGCCCTACACGCGTTAGCAGGAAATGTGAATGCGTCATTCGCTCCGCGGGCGGCGTGCGCGAGAGCTGACTTGTCTACTCGCTGTCAGGCGCAGACCTGAGGCGGCAACTGCAGTTGCACTGACTTCCACGCGACACGCTCACTTGTCACAGCTTGTGTGCGTGAGTGAGTCGTGAGTGTGTCGTTTGTGTGAGCTTGCACGCTGTTTCGCACAAGTCGTGTTGGTGACACACCGCAATACGAGCCTGTGATGAGCACCACGGCAGAACCGATAGGGCAGGGTGTGATGGCCGTCACTTGTGTTCGTGTGTTCAGTTCAAGCGCACCGTGCTACTAGCCGTGTTAGTTTGTGTGTGTTGCCCCGCAAGCTGACTGTGCAAGGAGTGAGGGGTGTGTCGAACGCATCAAATTCGTAACGCTGTTTCGTTGTGTCAGGCACGTGGGCAACTCATCCACCCCATGGCTTTGTGTTGCTGTATTGAAGGCAACGGGGTTGAAGGAAACGAGGAGACGAAGGCATGATGTTGCACATATCGAGTGAAATCCGAAGGGAAGAATCAATGAGATGGTAGCATGCCGCATGCAGCAAAAGTGAAGACAAGGCACAAGAGCGAAAGCGCATGTGAAAGCGTACGGGAGGGAACACTCAACACAAAACAGACAGCTGTGGAAAACGCAAGCAAGTGAAACCCGGAAAAGAAACCAAGAGAGCATGCAGGAGAGAGACCGTGTAATGCTGTCAGCAATTGATCATGTGCTGCAAGCTCTCTGTTTAGCTGCTTTCAGTGTTGCTGTCGTTGTCATCATTGGTGTTGTCGTTGTCACCATTGTCGTTGTTGCTGCTGTCGTTGCCATCGTTGTTGTTGTTGCTGTCGTTGTCACCATTGTCGTTGTTGTTGCTGTGGTCATCGTTGTTGTTGCTGTCGTTGTCACCATTGTCGTTGTTGTTGCTGCTGTTGCTGTCGTTGTCATCACAGTCGTTGTTGTAGCTGCTGTTGCTGTCGTCATTGTCATCATTGTCGTTGCTGTTGTTGTACTTGTCATCAGCATCGCCATGACTGCCGGTGTCGTTGGCGGCACCATGATCAACTGTCGATGGCGTTGTCGTCGTTGTCGCAGTTGTCATTGTGCTCGTTGGCTCCGTACTTGTGCTCGTGCTGGAGGAAGTGAAAGTGCTGGTACTGCTGGTGCTGCTGGTGCTGGCCACCGTTGCTGGCGTTTCTGTCGACGTGGTTGGACCTGGTGTGTAAGATTCGCCTGTGAACAGCACCGTTGAGGCTTGCTTGCCCAGCTTCCGGTTTGGAACGTCGCTGCAGTTCACATCAGCGGCGGCAAACGCACAGTCCTCCCTGGAACATCACGTCGCATGCGCGCAGAGAGTGTGAAGGCATGTGTGCGCGCGAACAGGCGTACAAGTGCGAGCGGGTTGTGTGTTGTACGTGTGTGATTGGGAGCTTCAGTGCTATGCTCCATGATTGCCGTCTCCAGGGCAAGTAGGCATGCGTACAGATGTACGCCTTTCCAATACGCCTTGCTGTGGCTGTCGACAATAAGATGCACGAGACCAATAGGGCCAACAAGGCCACTAACAAGGCAACCAAACACTCCGCTCAACTGACCAGCATTGCAGGTGATGAAGGGTTGTCAGTGTCCCGTTGAGTGTGCATGTGGTCGGATTGCATTTGGACATGCAACTTCCCAGAGCCACAAGCCCACGGCGTGAGTGATGGCTGGTTGACACGATGCAAGAGCTGAATTCCATGGAAGACATGTGACCGGCAGCCTGCGTTGATGCAATCGCGTGTGCAAGGTGTATGTGTGCATGTGTGTGTGTGTGCGGATGAGTCGGCTTGTTGAAGCTGTGGACACATGGCTGTGTTTGTCGACGACACGATCAAGGGAGTAGGAGAGCAGGCGCACATGGGAGAGGCAGCAAGTGGCCAAGGTTGTTGCGATCACACGTTGCAGTGTTCGTTGGAGTGTCGCAGAAAACTCACCGTGCCGACGCAGTAGTGAATGTCCTCGTCGCATGACGGTGTGCAGGCGCTGCCGCCATCATCCTGCGCGGCACCAGGGGTTTCGTTCTTCGGGCGAGGTGGCATGACCAAAAGGGGAATGCAGATGGCAGCCGTTACGGCAATCATGCCAATGCACATGAGGCACAGGACACGGCGGCGTTTGCGTCGACGCTTGCGCTCTTCCTCTTCTTCTTGAAGCTGCTGCATTGTTTCCTCCCGCCACTCATCGTGGTCGTCATCGTAGGGGCTGCTTCGTCCCCACGAATCAAATTGAGAAGCATCCATGGCGCCGATGCCCACAAAGGCGTCTGTGGTGCCCACAAAGCAAATAAGCCCTGCTTCCTACTTTGCTTGCTAATGTGCTTGCTCGCCAAAGTGTATGATGTATCTATGTGTGTGTGTGAAGCGTGGATGATGTGATGATGTGGTGAAAATGTCACCTCGGCAACACGAGGGCTGGGTGCGGTCAGAAGCGCAGAGCCTAGAACACAACAACAGCGACGTTTGCGTGATGTGATGTGATGTTGTTGAGGATGATGTTGTGTGGTGGTGGTGGTGGTGGTGGCGGTTGTTGTTGGTGCTGGCCTTGTAGTCTAGTAGGTGATTGAACGTATCTGCTCTTCGGTTTGTCGGGTTGGTCTGGAGCGAGGCGGGAGCAACCAACACCAGCACCACACACGCACCAGCACCACACATGCAATCTGGGGACGCATTACATTACGCCCTTTGTTGAGATCATCTCGCAACATCAGTCTGAGAACCATTGTTCGTTGCTGTGCTGGGTGGCACTGCAAGCACAATGAGGCACAATGCTGCAGTGGCAGATGGGAAGGGTGGCACTGCAAGCTCGGGCGCTGGGGCGCGGCACGTTTGAATGTTTCTGGCCGGGGTCGTGCCAGACTGCGTCAGTCGCAAGTGTGACGTGTCAGTCAACACCTCGTGACGTCATCTGGGCTAAGCGAATTTGGGGATTTGGGGGCTGGGACGTGCAAGCCAATGGCGGCATGGTAAGTGGCAAACCCGCCAACACCGAGGCAAGCGGAGATGGCGACTTTCTGCAAACACAGCCAAAGCCACGTAATCCAAGAAGCAGTCGCCATTTCCCTCTTCCTCTCTCCACCCGCACACACACACACACCTTCAAATCCTTCAAATCAGCCTAACCACACTCGCGGCTTTCGATACAAGTGCGTTTCCCTGCACTGTTGCGACGGCAACCTACGACCCTCACCACAAGAAGGCAAGACGGTAAAGGGCAACCCACAGCCAGCAAACGTGCTTTGGAATCCAAGAACTCACACGGCAGGCAATTGCATTGGACAGAGTCACAGCAACAGCAACCTCAAGCACAAACCGCCCCACAACACCCACAACACCCACAACAACTACCGCGCACGCAACCGCGCACGCAACCGCGCACGCAACCGCACACGCAACAACAACTGCAACAATGCCACGGGGTCGCCGGTCTCGCGCAGTTTCTGCGCCAGCACCCTTCATCAAGGTGGACCTACCAGCGACGGAAACTTGGCCGGCTTGGGAGGACACGGCAAGGAATTTACCGACCAGCATTTTCGAGTTGGCGGGTGAACAAGCAAAGCCTTGGCGCTCGCGCGAGCATCTTCGAATGAGCATGGAGTCCCTCGTGTCAAATGACCCCTTCGAGCACCAGCACACCATGGAAGACGCGTGCAACGATGACGGATACAGCGACGACGACGACGACGACGACGACGACGACGACGACGACGACGACGACTTGTCTGACGCGGACGCCATCAACGCAGTGATGGGTCACAGTGCAGTGGACCGCCTGCAAACGAAGAGCAACCACAACACTGGCAACTCCGATGTGCGCGTGCTCAGAATGCGTTCGTGCACCACCATTGCAGAAGATGACGAGGGCGAAGACTGCGAGTGCAATGAAGACGCTGGTGACATGCGCTCCGATGCCGCACCATCTTCGCAGGCTTCCAGCTTCCACGGATGCGCTCACGATGGCGGGCGGGCCGTGCGCGGCACTGGGGCGCGCGAAACCCCGGCGCACCCGCATCACGTGGACAGCAAGCATGGCGATGATGATGGTGCCGACGAATATGAGGGGGAGGATGAGGATGACTTTGCCGGCCTGGCGGATCTCATGGGACAAGGGAGTGGTGGTAGCGGTGGTGATAGCGGGAAGGTGACAGCGCATGCGGCAGAAGAGCGTGGCAGCACAGCCATGGCAGCGACCGAAAGTCAGGGCACACAGTCCGAACGTCCAGCACGCCCCAGCATCAGCGTGCCGGAGCTGCCTCCTCGCGTGTACGAGTGGAGCAAGCTGAAGGCTGCTTCGCCGCGTCGTCGAGGGTCATCTCCCTGGGAAATGCTGCGCAAACCGCTGCAGCGGCTGCGCCGGTCTATGTCGCGGCAGCCGCAGCGCGGGCGGCGTGCGAGCGCGCCTGCCCTGGGCCGAACGACCATGGCCTCGACGGCATCGGACGTGGATGACGTGGATGAGGATGATAGCAGCAACGCCACCAGCAACGCCACCAGCAATGCCACCAGTCACAACGCCAGCAAGAGGGCCAGTGAAGAGTTCGGCACTGCCACAACCACAAGCGCCAAAAGCAAGCGCCCCAGCCGCAAGCACGAGGAGCCAGTGTATGCGGTTGTGAGCAAGCTCCACCACCGCGGTGATGGGCGGAGCCCACCAAAGTACGCCATTGCCATGGTGGACGATGACGAGGACGAGATGCTCCGTCTCGCTGCTCGCCTGCAGCTGGGTACGGGCGCCCTTGGTGGCGACGATGACGACAACGACGGCGGCTATGCAACCATTCGCATTTAATGTGTGTGTGTGTGTGTGTGTATGCGTAGATGCGCGCGCGTGTGTGTGAACGGGCGTGTGTGTGTATGTGTGTGTGTGGTTGCTTCAGTGGTTGCTTCTCTGCTTTGTCTGCATGCATGCTTTCAGCTGTTTTGCCTTGAGAAACCCGCACGTGTCACGACCATGCATTTGGTGTGTGTTTTGTGTTTTTGTTTGTGCGTTGTGCTCCTTCGAGGGGATGGAAGATGTTCTTCCACTCGCGCTCATCTTCGCCAGTTGTGCTGCCGGAGAAACTGATATCGCGACCATCAGTCTTTCATGCTTTCTGCCTGTTCTGTCGTTCAGTTGGAACTGTCACAAGTCATCCATCGGCAGCCATTGGCCAGTAAACCAGCACATGGAGCTAGACATATTGGCGTCTCTGAACAAGCAAAGGCAAATGCACAGCAAAGCAGCACGACAACCAGACAACCTGCTCATTTGTTGTCTGTCTGTCTCTGTGCGCGCGTGCATGTGTGTGTGTGTGTGTCTGTCTCTGTCTCTCTCTCTCTCTCGCTGTCTCTCTGCCTGGCTTTGGACACGTACATCTCTCAGCAAGCCACCGGAAGCGCACCACCATCAGCACCAAGACAATCCTACCATCCTTTGGGCTCATAAGCTCAGGAGTTGTTGCTGTGATGACTCATCAACGAGCACAACACCAGAAGACAACAACGGTGATGAGCGGTGGGAGGAAGAACCCGTTTGCACTGGATGACAGCGGTGATGAGAGCGAGGAGGACGAGGAGGAGGAGGAGGACGAGGACGGTGTTGAGGGAAGAGCTGTCGGACAGCAGCAACAACGACAGCAGCAGCAGCAGCACAGTGGAAGACCGGGGAACCCATTTGTTGTGGCGTCGTCGTCATCATCAGCATCAGCATCATCATCATCACGGCGGAAGAACCCGTTTGCCTCAGAGAGCGGGGATGAGGACGATGAGGATGCTGGCAAACCTGGGGCAGCGCTTCGGCGCGGCGGAGGCAGATTGGATACCCAGCAAGAGGAGCCCGAGCAGGAGAAAGCGAATGCAGGTGTGTCAGAAGCAAAGGAGGAAGAAGAGCTGCAGTTTGTAGCCGCGACATCCAAGCCACAGGCGAGGGACACACAAGGCGACATGGCTAGGCACGATGCTGGTGGTGGGCGGAGTGCCCTCCACACAGAGGATCGCGAGGGTGACATGGCGGGCATGGACCTGGGTGTCCTGATGCACTCTAGCGAAGGTGATCAGCGTGATATCCTTTCGGACTCAGATCAGCAGCAGGAACAGCAGGAGCAGCAGGAACAGCGGCGGCGCCATGGCTTCTTCGATATGGAGTCCTCAAGTCAGTTGAGTAGCCCAGCGCCAGCCGCGCCAGACGAGGAAGATTTGCCCACGACCACTGCCGTGAAGGCGCAGCCTTTGGCGGCAGCGCGAGCACCGGCATTGAGTCCAGCCCAAGTCCGCCACGGCACGACCGCCCAGGCCTTTCAGGACGTCACCAATGTGCGTGTGTGTGTGTGCGTTGTGTGTGCGCGTTGTGTGTGCGTTGTGTGTTGTGTGCGTTGTGTGTTGTGTGCGTTGTGTGTTGTGTGCGTTGTGTGTGTGTGTGTGTGGATGTGTGTATGTATGTGTGTGTGTATGTGTGTATGTGTGTGTGTGTGTGCGTGTGTGTGTGTGTGGATGTGTGTGTGTGTGTGTGTGTGTGTGTGAGCCCGCGAGTGGCGGCCCCGTTCCTTTGTGAAAGCATTTGACACCATGTCGCATCACTGCAATTGACGCTGCCAGGTATCGCAGCTGCGGGGCATGCTGGAAGCGGTGACACAGGAAAACGCAGAGCTGAAGCGCCTTCTTCGAGAGCGGGACGCCGAAGCACGTGTTCGCCGACAGCCCCGCGTCTCTGCGCGCGATGCGTTTCTCATGTTGGCCCGCGGCCAGGTCTGTTCCCAGTGTTGCATTTCTACCTGTGTTTGTGTGTGTGTGTGTGTGTATGTGTGTATGTGTGTGTGTGTGTGTGTGTGT